AAAAAAAAAACCACAAAACAAAACAAATTCACTGCCATCAAACTGATTCCAACTCAAAGCGACTCTAATACTGCAGAGTTGAACTGCTCTTTAGGGTTTCTGAGACTGTAAATCTTGTGGGAGCAACAGTCTCATCTTTCTCCTGCAAAACAGCTGGTGTGTCTGAACAGCAACCTTTTGGTTAGAAGTCCAGGGCTTAACCCACAGTGCCAACAGGCCTCTTTTAAGTGCTACAGATACCTTTATTATTTATACAGTATAAAAATGCCATTTTGTCTGAGGTCACTAGATTTGAAGAAAATTTCCATAATGTTTTAGGAAATATTTTAACATGTCAAGTATTCTGTTAATTATGAGAATTATACATTTGAACTTCCTTTTTACCAACTAGTCCCTCAGTGAACTGAACTCTCAATGATAGAAGTGTCTTCTGGAAGGTACAGATTTTCTCCTAAAAAGGCATCCGGTTCCAAGAAGTTTCTACTGCACCTTATTCATTCTACATACTTAACATGCCACATGAGTGAAAATGTAATGACCAATTCAATATAGAACAACCCTAGATCATGTTAATATGAAGCAGTAAATTATTAGAAAGGTTAAATATCTCTAGCATTTGGAGCATCATTAAAGATAAGCTTACCAAAAGTACTTTTAATAAAGAAGGCTTATTCTTTTTAATAGCAGAACCCAGTTACTTAAGAACTCTGGAAGGTTCTAATAGCAATCCTATATAGGGTTTCTAAGGAGTGGTTGGTGGGTTTGAGCCACTGACTTTGTGGTTAGCAATCCAGTGCTTATCCGAAAGCGCTACACCAGGGCTCCAAAATATCAGGGTAGAGACATATTATTAAAATATAAATACTTTTAAAGGTATCAAATACTCTATTCTGTATGAAATCTTAAACATTGTGAAAAATAAATCACTTACAGCATTTACAGGTGTCCCCAGCCCATCATAATACATTACTCCTAGCTGGTAAATTGCTTGATGATCCTGCTCCTTGATTTCTTCAAACTGTTCTATTGCTTCTTCATACCATCCCTATAAAACCCCAGAAAAAGAAATTATTTTATTATGATTTTAAACTAATCCAAGGAAATATTTAATTCCCATCTAAGAGAGATTGGTAGTCTAAGATAAAACAAAACATGAAATTAAATTTATGGAATAAGTCAACAATCAACAAAGTAGAACATAAAGTAACACTATATACGGCAACTGAAGGAAATGGCTAAGAGGAATCTGATAAGACTCTTAAGCTTTCTTCCCTCGTACTCTTGTTGTTGCTTAGTGCCAACCCATAGCAACCCTGTATAGGGTTCCAACCCATAGCGACCCTGTATAGGGTTTCCTAGGAGCAGCTGGTGAGCTTGAACTGCTGACCTTGTAGTTCAAAGGGCTTTGCAGTCTGGTGCATTAACCCACAGT